CACGTCTCGCATCAGCCATGCCGGTCGCTGAAAGTAGATATTGTTGGATTCCCAGGTCCGAGTCTTTTTTTTGCGTTTCCCTACTATTTCAATAGTGGAGTGGTCGTCTCTCTTCCCTCGTCCTCAGGGTGCAGGCGGAAGCCCAATCTACTTTCAACATTGATTCATACTTCATGTTTCTACCCACTTCTTCCGACCGACGTTTACCTCGGTGCCGATCTTAAGAAGTCCCTCAGTTTCTGAGGGAACATCCCTAAGTTTGTCATCGCTTTTGGCTTGACGATCTTAGGGACAGGCATAAGTTCGAGTCTGGTCAGGGCGGGGGAAGATTTGGAGAGGCGTCAGGTCACGTGCGTACAGGACAACGGTATCGGCTCAGGGGCTCAGGGGTTCGACGTTTTCGTGCGTTTTCGACGGTTCTCAAGGGTTTTCTTGCCTCGAGATGTGTTCCAGCGGCTGCATCTCGCTGGGAGCGATCCGGGGGTGCCCGGATCGTTCCGACTGGCCGCCAGAGAGCCGAGCTGTGACCCGAAAACCAGGGGCAATGTTATGGGAAAGAGCGTGTTCTACCGCTGCTGGCGGAAAACCAGGGGGAGTCATTGGGGGTTCCTAACCCGTCCCCCCACCCCCCTCGAAAATTGGTGGAGGTCACTACCGGTTCGAACCCCTCCCCCCCTCCCAGTCCATCATGAAAAGGGTGGGGGGTCACTACTGGTTCGAACCCCCACCCCTCGAAAACCGGGGGGGGGTCACTACTGGTTCGAACCCCCCCGCCTCGCCGCCGGCAAACAATTACCGCTCCTCGGGACAGTTGGAGTGGTGGGGACAGTGGGACAGTGGTGGGGACGGTGGTGGTGGGGACAGGGGTGAGGGGACAGCGGGACAGTGGTGGGGACAGTGGGACAGTGGTGAGGACGGTAGTTGTGGGGACAGTGGTGAAGGCGGTGGTGAGAACGGTGGTGGGTCAGTAGTACAGTGGGGACAGAGGGACAGTGGGGACAGTGGGACAGTAGTACAGTGGGTACAGTGGTGGGGACAGTGGGGGCAGTGGGACAGTGGGAATGTGGTGGGGACAGTGGTGGTGGGGACAGTGGTGAGGGCGGTGATGAGGACGGTGATGGGACAATGAGATAGAGGTATAGTGGAGACAGTGGTGGGGACAGTTGGGACAGTGGTGGGAACAGTGGGACAGCGGAGGGGACAGTGGGGCAGTGGGACAGTGGGGACAGTGGGACAGTGGTGGGGACCTTGGGGAAAGTGGGGAAAGTGGGACCGTGGTGGGAACAGTGGTGGGGACAGTGGGGACACTGTGACAGTGGTCGGGGCACTGGTGGTGGGGACAGTGGGGACGGTGGTGGGAACAGCGGGAAGAGTGGTGGTGAGGACAGTGGTGCTGGGGACAGCAGTGGGGGATGTGATGCGAACGGTGGTGGGCACATGGGAGTCGTTTGCCGATATTGGACAGTGGTGGGAACTGTGGTGGTGGGGACAGTGGTGCGGGGACAGTGGGACAGTGGTGCGGACAGTGGTGGGGACGGTGGTGGTGGGGACAGGCAGGGGTGAGGGGACAGCGGGACAGTGGTGGGGACAGTGGGACAGTGGTGGGGACGGTAGTGGTGGGGACAGTGGTGAAGGCAGTGGTGAGGACGGTGGTGGGACAGTAGTACAGTGGGAAGAGTGGTGGGGACAGTGGGAACAGTGGGACAGTGGTGGGGACAATGGGGACAGTGGGACAGCACAGTGGGACAGCGGCGGGGACAGTGGGGTCAGTGGGACAGTGGTGGGAACAGTGGGGACAATGGGACAGTGGTGGGGACATTGGTGGTGGGGGCATTGGTGGCGGGGACATTGGTGAGGGCGGTGGCGAGGACGGTGATGGGACAATGGGACGGAGGTATAGTGGGGACAGTGGTAGGGACAGTGGGGACAGTGGTGGGAACAGTGGGATGTCGGCGGGAACAGTAGGACAGTGGGACAGTGGGGACAGTGGTGGGGACCTTGGGGAAAGTGGGGAGAGTGGGACCGTGGTGGGAACAGTGGTGGGGGCAGTGGGGACAGTGTTAAAGTGGTCGGGGCACTGGTGGGGACAGTGGGGACGGTGTTGGGAACAGCGGGGACAGTGGTGGTGAGGACAGTGGTGCTGGGGACAGCAGTGGGGGATGTGGTGCGGACGGTGATGTGGGGACATGGGAGTCGTTCGCCGGCGGTGGGTGGGGGGGGAGGGGTTCGAACAGGTAGTGGGTTTTCGAGGGGGGAGGGGGGGGGATTCGAACCGGTAGTGACCCCCCCCGTTTTCTGAAGGGGGGGGGGGGGGGAATCGAACCGTCAGTGACCTCCCTCGGTTTTCGAGGGGGTGGGGGGGCTCGAACCGGTAGTGACCCCCATTCGTTTTTCTGGAGAAGGGCGGGGGGGGTGTTCGAACCGGTAGTGACCCCCCCGGTCTTGTGGAGGGGAGGGGGGGGTTTAGGGGGGAGGGGGGGGGGCCGGAAGAAGGGGGTGTGGGGGGATTTTCGGAGGGGGGGGGGGGGAACCCCCGAGTTCCGGAGGAAGAGGAGGGGGAATGTTCCATAGTAAAGCGGCGGTGGATTACGTTCTCTTTGTTATGGGGGGGGGGGTAGGCGTAGGGGAGGCGCATCGACCCCCAATCGCCCATACATCGCCGGCCCGACAGCCCACCGCGTCCAGGAAGGTTCGGATTCGCGTTCGATGGCAGTTCGGCGATCAACCGGCGATGCTTCTTTCCCCCCGCTCCCCCCCTGAGCCGCCCCCCCCGATCGTTCCCCTTCGGATCTGTAGAGGTGTCAGATCACTGGTGAGGAGATGGGGTGGGAGGAGGTCGTCCTCTTTGAATGCTGTTTTCTATCTGCTCTGCCTTGCTTGAACAGGGCCCCTCTTGATGCCGTCTGTCATCGGGGTGGTAGGGCAGCGCCGCGTGGATGGTAGCAAGGCCCGCAGCACAGAGCATCTGGAGAGGCGCTCTATCGCTCTCCCCCTCTTCCTTCGCTGAGCTCTATCCTTCCGCCTCCTCCCCTCGGGGCCCACGGGGTGGCCACTCGTCGCTCGGCCAGATCCGCCTAGGGATCCTCTTGGCATCACTCGGACGTGTGCACTTTTCTCGGCGAGGACCATCGTGGAACACTCTGGATCATCGAGCCAACAAAAACACACGGTATCTGAACATGCACGGGGAATGGACGTCCGAGCTCTGGCGAGTTCTGGCCGGAGCGCGTTCCAGGACGCCCCGGATGCCAGGGGGCCTCGGGGGCTGCGCACAGGCGCAGTGGGGTGGTGCTCTCCGCTGCCCCCATGTTTGGGCGTGCCAGGTTTCAGAGCGCTCCAGAGAATGCTCACGGCTTCTGGAACGGCCGCGACGCCACGATTTCTCCGAAGTCTGCGCATTTCGGAGCTCGTCTCCGGCCTTGGGACCGTCAATCAGACGGCCTGCGAGAAAGCGGTCCCAGGACTGGAGTTGAGAGGTCCGCATGCTGCCGCGATTCTACTACGACGTCGGAGGTCTGGAGGGAGGGAGCGAGGGAGGAGGGCGAGAGGAGGATGTTTGGACCGGCCGGCTCAGGGATCCACGAGCTGCGGTTGCCCTGTACTGCTCGTGGTCATCCCCCCCTTCTTATAGAGGGGTGGCCTGGACCTCCAGGGTCCTGAAAAAAGCGGGGCAGCGCAGGGGCCAGGGCAGGGGCGAATTTGGGTGGGGGCAGCACGAGGAGGGAGAGGAGGGGGATGACGAGGCGGGGACGAGGAAGGAAGGCAGGGAGAAAGAGTAGGGTAGGAGCACCAGCACGACAACCGGAAGGAGATGAAAAGGAGAAGGAGGACGTGCGGGAGAATGAGGTGCAGTAGCCCGAAGAGGGGGATGTGCAGACTGAGGAAGAAAAGCATGCTCAGGGAGGAGGGGCAGAGTGCAGAGGAGGCAAGGGAGAGAACGAGGAGCGGAGTGGAGAAAACGGGAAGGGTAGGGAAGGGGGAGGAAGACGAGGAGAAGGGAACCACGATCAGGCTCGGGGCAGTGCTCAATGTTTGAACGGTGTTGGCGGTTGCCTCTGGGGGCTGTTGCCGAGTCCTGGCGGTGCGTCCGTCCTCCGATCGACGAGGGACGGGAGTAAAACAGCTTGCGGCCATGTGGTGCGGAATTGGTCAGTTGCTGGAAGTGCATGGTTTAGTCTCGTTTACCTCTGCCTCGGTTATATCGGGATCCACACGGAAGCTTTGGGCTTGCCCTTTTCCCGCGAGGACGTCAAGATGGTGTTGTGTTTAGACACTTTGGGCACCAACGCCGCCATCGACGAGGCCAAGATCACCGAGATGTTGGAGCTCTGCAAGGCCTGCGCGTTGTGCAAGTCGCAATCGGAGACGAAGGCCGTGGACACGCAGGCGCTTGTCGAGATCGATCCGGACATGCGGTCCGCGGCTGAGGAAGCCGTCGCGAGTTACCGTAAAGAGGCAGATGAGGCTTTGGTGGCCGAGCAGCAGGAGGAGGAGGCCGCGGCGGAGGAGGAGGAGGCGAAGGAACTCGTCAAGGAGAAGTACGCTTACCTCCGCGCCAAAATTGTAATGCAGTCCATGAGGAAGGAGATATTGGAGCTCACCTCCTGGGTGGTGGCCCCGCCGGAGCTCATGGCCCTGGTGGCGAACTTTGCGCTGATGTATGGCTACACGAAGGAGCAGGTCTACCCCAAGAAGAAGGCAGTGCTCAGCTGGGAGAAGCTCAGCACCGTGCTGTCTGCCGCCCTCCTCGACGCCTGCGAGAGCTGCGATGTCACCCTGGAGCTGGGGTTAGGTCAGGCATGTCCTCTTACAGGCAGATGTTGAGCGAAAGGAATTGTCACACAAAATGCCCCAAGCAAAACTTATCCGAGTATGCTTTGACTATGTTTGAGCATTCCTCCTGTAGAGGGACACGCCCGACTTAAAGCTGGGGGTCAAAGAGATGCCGATGCCGCTGCTCGAAAGAGCAGCGGCAGAAACCTAAGCTTCCGGAGGTCCGTGCCGATGTCTTGGGTCGGCTCTCGGCCCTCGCACCTCCAGCGCTGAAGCGGGTCCAACGCTGGCGCAAGAAGTCCAGGCGGACCTCCGAAGCTTTCTGCGTTTGTGCCATTCGGTGGGGCGGCCCACCGAGTAGGGTTGAGTCGGGCCTGTCCCTCTACAGGGGGGATATTCAACAATGGTAGAAACCAACAACAAATATTCCGACGGAAAGACCCACATGAATGTCCTTTCGGCTGATCTGGAAAGAACCTTCACTGTCGTGCGGGCCCCATAGGGAAGGGGCTCCCGCCTGGGACTTCCCCGCACTTCACTCACAGACGAGCCTCTCGCCTGATACTTCCCCCGTATTCAGGCCTCAGGGGTCCAAAAGTGACGACAGTTACAGGTTCGAGGATGACCCGCTCGGATTAGAAACATGAAGTGCGGGCCCCATAGGGAGGGGGCTCCCGCCTGGGACTCCTTCGCACTTCACTCACAGACGAGCCTCCCGCCTAATGTTTCCCCTATATGCAGGCCTCAGGGGCTCAAAAGTGACGACAGTTATAGGTTCGAGGATGACCCGCTCGGATTGGAAACATGAAGTGCGGGTCCAGTAGGGAGAGGGCTCCCGCTTGGGACTTCCTCGCAATTCACTCACAGACGAGCCTCCCGCCTGATACTTCCCCCATGTTCAGGCCTCAGGAACCCCAAAGTGACGAAAGATAATGACAGGTTCGAGGATGACCCGCTCGGATTAGAAACATGAAGTGCGGGCCCCATAGGGGGTGAGCTCCCGCCTGAGACTTTCTCGCACTTCACTCACACACAAGTCTCCCGCCTGATACTCCCCCATATACGGGCCTCAGGGTCCCAAGAGTGACGCCAGTTACACCTTCGAGGATGACCCGCTCGAATTAAAAATGTGAAGTGCCCCATAGGGAGATGGCTCCCGCCTGAGGTTTCCTTGCAATTCACTCACAGACGAGCTTCCCTCCTGATACCTTATTTTCAGGCCTCAGGATAATAATGCTCAGTGATGAGCGAATGTGTGTGATGTGCGACTGAGTATGATGATGATGATGATGATGATGATGATGATGATGATGATGACGACGATGACGATGACGATGACGATGACGATGACGATGACGATGATGATGATGGCGGTGGTGGTGATGCTGATGATGCTGATGATGCTGATGATGCTGATGATGATGATGATGATGATGATGATACTGATGATGATACTGATGATGATACTGATGATGATAATGATGATCGATGGCCGATGGTGATGGTGATGGTGATCGATGGTGGGTGAGTGAGTATGATGATGGTGGTGATGATGATGACCGATGGTGATGATGACCGATGACGGGGTGAATACGTGAGTGAGGCAGAGAGTGGGGGGGAGGTTCCTGCGCGGAGGGTGTCCAGGGAAAACAAAAACCCAATTCTTAAGGGAAAGACAGTCCGGGGACGATTGTTTGACTATTTTGGAGCATGTTCTGGCTAGTTTTTACTTTCCTCCACAATCCGCCTGTAGGGGGACACGCCCGACCTAAGAGCAGGGCGCAGGAAATCCAGGCGGACATCCGAAGGGTTGTGTTTGTGTCACTCGGGGGGGCGGCCCTCCGCGCAGGGCGGGGGGGGGGCCCTCGAGGGCGGGGAGCCTGGAGGCCTCCGCGAGGGGCCGCTTCCCTGCGTCCGTGGCCCTCCCCGCGCGCCCTGGCAGGAGGCCGGGCCCCCACTCCTCCCCCTTCGAAGCGGACGGGGGCGTTCTGGTTGGGGGTCCAGCGAAAACGGGGTGGTGCAAAAGATTTGGTGCCATACATTCGTGGGGTTGCAGTAGGTTTGGGGCGTGCAACACATTCCAGTGCGCAGATGTATTGCTGGACTTACGCGTGCAATGGATGAGCTGCAACACGATGCTCTACAAGTATCCGACGCAATACGTTTGCAGTTCATCAATTGCCCCAACTCTAATGCACCACCCCCTTTCAGCTGGACCCCCTTTTGGGTCGACCAAAGGCTTGGGCCGGACTACTCCAGAGAATCCACCGCTGCGCGTTCTGGCAAGGATTCCGAGGCGGATCCAGCCGCAGCGACGAGGAGCCCCCCAGGAGGAGACATGGAATCTCGGAGGAGGCGTTGGCATCGCTTTTTTGGTGCGTTCCCTGGTTCTCGCGGGGGGGGGGAGGGCGCCCGCGCTGACAACGCCGAATCGATCCGCGTCACGGACAAACGTCGCGCGCCGCAGGCGCTCTGACCCCCGCCCCGGTGCGCCGACGACGCGGGGTTGGGGGCGCCCCCCCTGCGCCTGGCGTCCCTCTTCCCTGGGGATTGAAGTCTGAGCAGGGGAACGAACAATGACATCAACAGTAAGTAACAAAAACTCGGAGGTCCGCGCGAACTTCTCGGATCCGCGCTGGAGCCCCCCTTGCGGCGCTTCTGGCGCCAGGCGCCGCCCCTGGTGCGCTCCGCGCGCCAGGGAGGGGGGTCCAGCGCGGATCCGAGAGATCCGCGCGGACCTCCGAGTTTTTGTATGTTTGTGTCGTTGTTCGTTCCCCTGCTGAGGCTCGAGGCTCGCGGGTGCGAGGCTCGAGGGCCGAGCGTCGCGCTGCCGGGCGCAGGGCGCGTGCTCGTGCCTGCCCCTCGGAGGAGCGCCGCGGCCTGGCCCCCGAGCAGAAATTGAGCAGCATCCGGGACCAGGGCCTCGCCCTGGACGAGGAGAAGGCGCAGGCCCCGAGCAGGGGATCGGCTACAGAATTCTAGGCCTCCTAGAGTTAAGTCAAGCTCGTCCCTCTACAGGAGGAGTATTCAAAAATTGTATATATATATATATATATATGTATATATATATGTGCATATGTATGTGTATATATATATGTATATATATATATATATATATATATACATAGGTGTGTATATATATATATATGGGACGGTTTTCCCATGTTTTATGTTTTATCATGTTTAAGTTTGTTTGACTATTCGTTATTTGTCTTCCAAAATCCGCTTGTAGGAGGACGTGCCCGACCTAATTCTACGCCTCCTAGATGGGGTCCGAGCAGATGGGGTCGGAGAATCGTGCCGTATCGCCGATACATCGCCAATGCGGCTAGATGTCGAGCCCGATTTGCGTCACGCCGACGTCGCCCATGAATCGCCCACGTCGGCGATAAATCGCTGGGTGCATCGCCGATGTATCTCCGGTGCATCGGCGATGCGGCGCGATCCTCCGACCCATCTACGCCGACCCCATCTAGGAGGCATCGAAGAATGGATTTACCCGGAATTGGTTCGAGTGGCTTGCGCCATCCCGCCGACCCCCAGAAGGAGCGAGAGTTTGCGGCGATCGTGGAAGCTCTTTGGTGGGTCAGGAGCCCCGTGGACGCACGTGAGGATATTCGAAGGGCTCTCGGGCTGCTTCTCAGGTGCATCCTGGAGGGCTCTCTCTCTTGGGCATCTGGGAGGCTTTCGGGGGCTTCTTGGGAGGCTCTCGGGGGCTCCTCGGGGGCCCCATTGGAGACCTCTCGGGGCCTCTTGGGGACGCCTCGGGGGCCTCTCGGGAGCTCTTGGGGCCACCCATCTAGGGGGGGAACGGCTCGAAATGTTGGCTCGTATTCGACCTCTGGCTACTGTTGGAGCCCTCGTGGGCCTCTCAAGGCTGCATTTGGTGCTCCTGGGTCCGTCGTGAGACCCTCCTGGGCCGTCTTGGGGCTCTCTCAGGGGCCGCATGGCCCATCTTGGGACGATCTCGGGGGCCCCGTCTCGACGCTCTCTTGGACTGTGTTGGCGCTCTGTCTGGGCCCTCTTGAGCCGTCTTGGGGCTCTTCGGCGGCTCCAGCGGCCCCAGGGGCGCCTCGACGAGCTCGTGCCCCCACCCGGGGGGAGGGCCTTCTTATCGGATGCTGGACCCTGGGGGAGGGGGGCCTTCAAATGTTTCACACGCCTTCTCACCCACAGCAAGCGGGGGTCGGTGGATTGTTCGAATCTACGAAACATGCAGAATGCTCGTAGGTCTACGAGAAATTGTGCGTACTGTTTTGCAGATTCTGCGAAAAGTCCAAGTGGGGGCAAATCCATTCTGTGGTCGATTCCCTACTCGAAGGCCCTCTGGCCCACTGTCGCGCCGCTGGCGGCCGTGCTGCGGCAGGCCGAGACCGCCCGCCGCCCCACCCCCTGCCCTGGAGAACTGCATGATGGCACAAGTCCGACAACGCGGAGGTCCGCGCAGAGCTCTTGGATCGGCGCTGGGCCCCTGGCCCTGGCGCGCGGAGAGCGCCAGGGGCGGCACCAGAGGCGCCGCCACTGGGGTCCAGCGCCGATGCAAGCAGTCTCTACGCGGATCTCCGAGTTGTTGGTTGCGTCCTCGGTTCAGTTCTCTATGCCCGCCCCCCCTCCCCTCGCCCACGGCCAAGACGCTGGATCAAGGAGCCTTCTCTGGACCCGGGAGGGGCTCCGGTCTTCGGGCCGCCCCTCGGAGCTAGGTCGGCGTGGCCGAGGTTCCCCGTGGCCAACGAAGCCTCTTCGTTCCTTATTTAGCGTTCCGCACGTGAGCGGCGCATGGCAGCTGCAATGGTCCCCGCCGGCGGGGCTGGCCGCGCCAGCAGCTCAGGTGTTGACCCGTCCGCCCCCGAGCGGCCTGCACTCCCCCCCCCCACCGCGGCCGCCCTGCCTGTCCTCTCCCCGCTCCCGCACTCTGGCCACTTCGCTTCTCGCTTCCCCCGTTCAGCTCTAGCGCTGGTGCAGCCAACCCTGCCTCGCCGCCGACGAAAAACATCCCGTGTGAGGGGCGCATGTCCTGCGATCCCAGCGCCGGCGCTCATGGCCGAGCGCCGCCGGGGACCGGGATCAGCCGAGGTCGAGCGATCTGCGCTGTCGGGCAGCGGCGACCGCTCCGGGCTGGGCGGCCCCAGCGCCGAAGGCGTCACGCCGCGAGCCTGTCACACCCCCTCGCCTCCAGGACCTCCGGAGATGCGAAACTGCCGGGACCGCCACTTCGCCGGCTCAACGGGCCAGAGGCGTGTTAAGATTTCCTGGAATTGACAGGTTAAGAATGTTTCTTAGTTCGCGCGCGCGCGTGGCGGCCCGTTGGGACCCCCGGACGAAAAGTACCCCGGGCGACGCCCAGCCGATGCCAAGGCCGACTCCCCCGGCGCGTTCCAGGAGTGCGCCAAGAGGGCGCTGGGACGCCCCTTACACGGCCCAAGAGCCCCTGAGTCACCGAAAGATCGCTCCAATACGCTCAAGATGGTCTCCAGATGGCCCCAGAGGCCGCGAAAAAGCCCCAGGGGAGCCGCAAGAGGCTCTCCAAGAGGGCCCCAACAAGCAAAGATTGCCCCATTCCCTGTTTGTGCAAGCGGCGTTTCTCCTCTTTTCGGCTTCCCAACGGCCCCCAAGCGGCGAGGCAATGTGGGCCAGTGGAATGAGCGAAGCGATTCAATAGAATGAGGTCAAGGCGTTAACATGAGGCCCATGTTGGGCTCAGGAGGGGTTCGGATTTCCGTGCCGCTTCTTAGATGTAAGTTTCAGAAATTGCTTGTGGCCGAAACCCGCCGTGGCCAGAAAAGCACCTTCGTTCCTTATCATGCGTTCCTGATGGTAGTACCATGGCCCATGGCTGTATCTTGGGATGCCAAGTCTTCGTCCACCTCCTCGATAATTCCCCTCCTCCCACACCTCCCCCATACGCACGTCTCCCCCCCCCAGTTTTTTTCCGTTTGCCAGGGGTGTGTACATCTTGCCTTGGCTTGGCCTGTTCATCCTCCTCCTCTTCCTCCTCCCCCTCCTCCTCCTCCTCCTCCTCCTCCTCCTCCTCCTCCTCCTCCTCCTCCTCCACTCTCCATCCCTCGTCCTCCCACCCTCCAACTTCCTCCGCATCCTTCTTCATTTTCCGCCGCCAACCTCGTCCCCTTCCCTCCTTATTTTCCGCACCCATCCTTCTCCCTCCCCCTTTGCCCTCCTCATCCCTCCCCCCTCCCTCTCCCCTCCTCGCCTCTCTCCCCGACTCCCCACCTCACCGCCCCCCTCTCCCCCCCCGCACCACTCCTCTCACCTCCCCCCCCTCCTTCCCCTCCCTCCCGCCCCCCCTCCGCCCCCCACCCACCAACTCCCGCGACGCGGCAGGCGGTCAGCTTCAGGGCGGCCCACCTCAAGCTCCGCAAAGCGGAGTTCGAGAAGGAGAAGGCGGCGAAGGAGGGAGGCGGCCGGCGTTCGCCCTCCTCCTGCTCCTGTTCGTCATCATCCCGTTCCCCTTGCTCACGACTAATGCTCCTCATCTTCCTGAGATAAAAAGTCCTCGTCCTCCTCTTGTTCGTCTCCTCTTGCTGCTCCTCCTCATCATTACCATATTTCGCCCCCTCCAAGTCCTCCCCCCTCTTCCTCCTTCTACTTATCCTCCTCCCTGCTCTGCCTCCTGGTCCTGCTCCTCCTGCTTGCTGTTCCTCCTGGTTCTCCTCCTCCTCCACCATCTCCACCTCCTCCTTCTCATCCACCACTTCCACGTCCTCCTCCTCCTCCTCCTCCTCCTCCTCCTCCTCCTCCGGCTACTTCTGATCCTGCTTCTCCTGATCCTGCTTCTCTTCCTCCCTCCTCCTGCCTCCCTCACGGGGGCCGACGAGATCAGCGGCCGTGTGGGGGGGGGGCTGGCCGCCGCCGAGGCAGACGCACTGCCCCCGACGCGCCGCATCGTGGCCCCCAGTTGCTCCCCCCGTGGAAGAGCAGGAGGACGGAGGAGAGGGACGAGCGTGAGGTGAAGAAGAAGGGGCAGGGAGAGGCGGGCCGAGGATGAGGAGAAGGGGGAGGGAGTCAGCGAGCGAGCGAACGAGGAGACGGAGGTGGGCGAGGGCGGAGGGAAGGCGAGAACCAGAAGGAGGTGGCGAGTTAGTGGGTGTCGAGGACGGGGGGGCGAAGGAGATGGAGGCAGGAAAAGTGAAGGAGTATGTAGGGAGGAGGAGGAGGAGAAAGAGGAGGAGGAGGAGGAGGAGGAGAAGGTGGAGGATGAGGAGGAGGAGGGGACGCAGACGAAAGAGCAGGAGGGGGAGGGGAAGCAGGAGGGGGGCGAGGTGCAGGGCGGGGATCCCATGATGTGGCGTGGCTGCCGGTCGCAGGAGGCCGATGGCGAGGAGTTCAAGGCGCAGCCGCTGGAGGACCCGGCGGGCGCAGAGGGCTCCCCTCCTCTGCCCACGCCCCGCTCGGGCTTGCCGCAGCGCAGCGGCCGCGAGCCCACGGCCCACGGGCTCAAGGCGTCCGCGGGCGGCTTCCCCGCCAGCGGCCTTCGCCATGGGTCGAAGAAGACAAAACGCCATAAGCAGGAACTTTTGGCGCTACGCGCGGATTTCTTGGATCGGCGCCTGGGCCCCCCTGGCGGCGCCTCTGGCGCCGCCCCTGGAGCGCTCCGCGCGCCGGGGAGGGGGGGGGGGGTCCAGCGCAGATCCAAGAAACCCGCGCGGAGCGCCAAGAATTTGTGTTTATGGCGTTTTCTCTTTGTCTAATGGGGGAACCGGGTCCCGAGG